CATTATGTCCAACTACAACTAAAAAGTAAATATTTAAAAAATGAAACTGATTTTGTTGTATTATATAAAAGTATAAGGAATATTATAAAAATTCTCTTACCTAAAAGACAATATAGGCATGTCTTCAAATGTTAGGGATCCAACATTGACTTTCTTTCTTTCTTTCTCTCTCTCTCTCTCTCTCTTTCTTTCTTTCTTTCATTTTTTTGGTGCTGGGGATTGAACCTAGGGTCTTGGGTTTGAGAGACAAGCACTCTACCAACTGAGCTATACCCCCAGCCCCAACTTACTTTCTTTTTAAATAATTTTTGCTACTGGGGACTGAACCCAGGGGTGCTCTATTCCTCGGATACATTCCTAGCTCTTTTTATTTTTTATTTTGATACAGGTTCTTGCTAAATTGCTGAGGGTTGCCATAATTTGTGATATTCCTGCCTTAGCCTCCTAATTGTTGAGATTACAGATGCCCAGCATCTTCTTAGTTTTTTAAGCTCTGGGGGATCTTGTATAAAATATACTGGCAATAAATAATTTAAAGGATAAAATATGTGCAAAATGTTGAGGTTTAATGAATATGTATTCAAACACTGATGATAAATTATTGGGTTTGAAATTCTAACTCTATTTCCTGGCTGGAGGAAACTTTTTCTCTACAAAACTTCATAGGAATATAATTTTTAATTTGATAAGTCTCTTCTTTTAATACTGATTTATAGGGTTTTGTTTTGTTTTGGTACCAAGCATTGAACTAAGGGGCACTCAACCACTGAGCCACATGGCAAGTGCCACCATGTCAGCTCAGTTTTACATTCAAAAACCTCTTAATTTTGTTTATTAACGTCAAAAATTTCTCTGAAATATGTTGGACTTTTTAAGGTGCGAGATTGATTATCATATTGTCTGAAATTAATGGTATTTTTCTTGCTTTTTAACTTTCTTTTTTGTATTTCTGAACAGATAGACCCAAGACTTATAGTATGATTTTGAATTAATTAACATTTTTGTTATTTGTTTATTTTTATTATTTATTTATTTATTTTAGAGAGAGAGAGAGAGAGAAGAGAAGAGAAGAGAAGAGAAGAGAGAGAGAGAGAATTTTTAAATATTTATTTATTTATTTTAGTTTTCCGCGGACAAAACATCTTTGTTTGTATGTGGTGCTGAGGATCGAACTGGGGCTGAATGCATGCCAGACGAGCGGGCTACCACTTGAGCCACATCCCCAGCCCGATATTTTTATTTTTACTATGACTTGAAGTACTGAGGATTAAACTCATTAGTGCTTTACCACCAAACTACATCCCAGCTCTTTTTTTTTTGATATCAGGGTAACTGCTGTTCCGACCAGCCCTGGCAGCTGAACGTAAGATCACTCACATGAATTTGCAAGGACACCAAATAAAACACAATCATACAACATATGGCCTCTTCATTCTGAGACTTAACAATGTTAAATTAAATTAAAATTTAACCAAGTTTTCATGACTTGATATCTATTCTTATTTCTGAATAATATAAACCTTGTATAGATGTACCACAGTGTGTTTTTTCATTCATTAGTTGCAGGACATGTTGATTTTTGGTTTTATAAATAAGTAATTATGAGTAAGACTATGATTAACATTCAGAGATTTGTGTGGACTTAAGTTGTTGAATCACTGATTTAGTACTTGATTAGAGACTAGATTGCCAGATTGCATGATGAGACCATGCTTAGCTTGTGCATTTTACCAACAATGAATGAAATCTCCCATAGCCCTGCATCCTCACCAACAATTGGCATTATCAGCTTTAATTTTTTTAACTATTTTAATGATTGTGAATGGTATCCTTTGTTCTTTTAATTTCCCTTATTTACTAAATAAAATTGTATCTTATTTACTATTGGTGTAACTTCTTTGGTGATGTCTTTTCAGATTATTTCTGCCCATTTTTGAAAATGATTTTTTTTTATTACTATATTTTGGGGGGTAGCATGGATTGAATCGAGGGGCACTTAACAACCGAGTCACATTTTCAGCCCTTTTTATTTATTTATTTATCTTTAAATATTTATTTTTAAATTTTCGGTGGACACAACATCTTTATTTTATTTTTATGTGGTGTTAAGGATCGAACCCAGCGCCCCGCGCATGCCTGGCGATCGCGCTACCACTTGAGCCACATCCCCAGATCCTTTTTTATTTTTTTGAGACACGGTCTCAGTAATTTGCTGAGGGGCTTGCTGAGGCTGGTTTTGAACTTGAGATCCTCCTTTCTCAGCCTCCTGCATCATTGGGATTATAGGCATGTGACACTGTGTTTGGTTTACTATTGAGTTTTGAGAATAATTATGTATTTTAAATAAAAATCCTTTATCAGATACACACTTGTAAACATTTTCTTTCCACCTTTGGCTTTTTTTTTTATTTTAAGAGAATTTTTTAATATTTATTTTTTAGTTTTTGGCGGACACAATATCTTTGTTTGTATGTGGTGCTGAGGATCGAACCTGGGCCCACGCATGCCAGGCGAGTGCGCTTGAGCCACATCCCCAGCCCCCACCTTTGGCTTCTTTTTTAAACTTTCTTTAACAGTATCTTTCACAGAACATAATCTATATAATAATAACATAATCTAACAGGGTCTGACTGAATTGCTTAGCACCTTGCTTTTTGCTGAGGCTGGCTTTAAAAAATCAATTTATAGGCTGTGGCTCAGTCATAGAGTGCTTGCCTAGGGGGTTTGATCCTCAGCACCACATAAAAATAAACAAATGGAGTGAAGGCATTCTGTGTATCTACAACTACAACAAACAACAAAAAAATCCCTCCCAGTTTAAGATTAAACTTAAAAAAAATCAATTCATCAATTTCATGAATTATGCTTTTTGGACTTTTACCTAAAATTCATTATGAAATGTAAGGTGAGGCCGGCCTGGTGGTGCATGCCTGTAATCCCAGCAGCTTCAGAGTTGGAGGAGGAAAGAGAATTGCAAGTTAAAGCCAGTCTCAGCAGTTCAGCCAGGTGATAAGCAACTCAGTGAGACTCTGTCTTAATAAAATACAAAACAGGGCCAGGGATGTGGCTCAGTGGTCGAGTATCTTGAGTTCATCCCAGGTACTCGCCCTTCCTCCCCTGCAAAAAAGTTTTCTTCCACCTTTACACTTTAAATTTAGTTCAATGATTCATTCTGGACTCATTTTTTGTGAAAGGTGTAGAAGTTTAAGTGCTTTAAAAAAAAAAAAAAATATATATATATATATATATATATATATATATATATACACACACATACATACATACACATACACATACATTTTTTAAGTTAATAGATGGACAAAATACCTTTATTTACTTTTATGTGGTGCTGAGGATTGAACTCAGGATTTCACATTTGCTAGGTGAAACTGCTGAGTCATAACTCCAGTCCCTAAATACTTTTGAGTGCAACTTCTATACTATATGCATGCCATTGTTGCTCTGCTACCTTATAATGATTGTGTCCCTGAAGAAAGGTGCTGAATTATTTTTGGATAAGATCACATTTTACAGCATTTCTATCTTTCTTCCTTTTCCTTTGGCAGTATTGGAGCTTATTGACCACAGAGTGAGATTTCCAGCCACTCCATTACCCCTCTCCCAACCCCCATTTGCAGGGAAGTATCCAGGGACTGAACTCAGGGGCCCTCTACCACTGAGCCACATTCCCAGCCCTAATTTGTATTTTATTTAGAGAGAGTCTCACTGAGTTTCTTAGGGCTCTCTGTTGCTGAGGCTGGCTTTGAACTCCAGATCTCCTTGCCTCAGCTGAAGGCTGAGTTGTAGGCCTGGGCCACTAGGACAGGCTCTATCCCTTTTTAGGGCAGGGTCTTGTGACTGGGCAGGTCTCAAATTGTGATCTTCCTGGTTCAGCCTCCAGATTCCTGGGATTAGTGGTGTGTACCACGTCGACCCTAGTATTTGTATTTTTCTTATGTAAGAGTGTTTATGTTTGAAAACTTCTTCAGTCCTGTAGCTCACCATTATCATAATAAATATACTTATGTTAATACAGCTATTCACAATATTAAGACCTGTGTAGCCTTTCATAGTAGAGTAAGAAAAGAATAGATCTGTTTCAGAGAAAATAATGGGCTAAGATATATAAAATCAGCATTAAAATGTCGCATTAAAGAATCAAGGGGCTCAGTCAGATGAAGGAAGCCTGCAATCTCAGCCACTGGAGTCTGAGGCCGGAAAAGACAAATCCAAGTTTAGTCATAAAAAATAAAAAGGGCTGAGGATGTAACTCAGTGGCAAAGCGCCTCTGGGTTTAATCCCTACTTTCCTCTCCCACGCAAACAACAAACAAACATAGAATTTTGGATAAACAGAGTTAAGGGCAACGAACCAGCATCTATGGGCAACCATCAATTATGGGAACAGGTCCTACAATGTGTTGTTTCAAGTGGAAGAGTGAAAAGGTAGGGAGAACAAGTAAGTGTGCAGCGGTGAGAAGTTCGGCAATCTGCGGTCACTTAGCGAGAAGACTCTTCCTGCGGTGTAAAATTTTTGTCTTCTGGACGTCAGTATGTAACAAGATCCTCTTCAGTGTGAGGTGATCCCGCACCACAAGGCGTGGATGGGCTAGGTGCAACCAGGCAGGAAAACGTCCTTGCGCCGCATTTGAGTGCACCGAGGGAGATGTTTTATCTCGCTCCTTCTACCACCTCCTTTTTCCTCGCGAGACCTAGGTGGCTACCGAAGGACAGACACCACCCGGACCTTCCATTCTTTATACTAGTAAATTTACTAGTTCGAGTTAATTTAACTCGAGCAATCTAAAGGTTGTTTCATTCCGAAGACTACCTTTTTGCGGACAGATGTGACCATAACCCACCTACCCAAGTTAGTGTGTGTTCTGTTCCCTGGATCTTAGTATTTCTGAACGGCTGAGTTCGGCAACTAGCAAGTTCAGTGGCACCATCGCTGACGTAAGTCAACAAAAGTCATGTGATGCAAGCCGGTCACCTCTATTGGTGAGCCTGGTTGGTTGTGGAGAGAGGTCACGACAGTTGCGTGGGGTTTACCTTGTGACACTATTACAACAACTTTGTGTTGGTACCGGCTAAGTTTGTAATTCTAAGAATTTCTCTTGGGCTGTCCAGCATTGTGAGCTTTTGTGTTCTTCTGGTCACCACCTGCCTCGTGATGTGATCTGGTAGCGGAGCCTTGTAGCCCCTGCATCTGCAGTTTTCGCCTGTGCTTTGGAGTTTCGGGTCGCGACTGTCTGCGATCGCTATAAAGTTGCTTAGTCTCAAGCTGTGTTTGAGATCACTATTTGAAGCTCTGAACACGGTGGTGATTGGGCGTCAACGTGGGAGTTACAAATTTGCGGCGTTTCCATGAAATCCTGTGCATTGTCGCTTGCTACTGCCGCGGCTACATTTGGTGATGAGGAAAAGAAAATGGCGGCGGAAAAAGAGAGCGGCGAGAGCGAAGAGGAGTCCCTCACCTTGACAGTGCAGGAGAGGGAGGCGCTCGGTGGATTGGACAGGTACGGACCGTGGTCACGGGCAGGTTGACTACTCACCGGTTGATGCCACTCTCCAGAAGGGCCCAAATGCAGCTTGACTCCGGTGGCGACGGGAGGTCACCTCGTCTTGGCATTCACCCAGCCCTTGCTGCTTTCCGGGCCTCGGTTTCGGGAAGGGACGGGTCAGTGTTTTTCCGCGAGCTTTAACAAGACACGTGTGTTTCTTCCTACAGTCGCCTCTTCGGGTTCCTGAGTCTTCGCGAAGATGGCGCCAGTGTGAAAACCCTATTGGGCAAGGTAGGGCAACTACGCGAACACAACTGTCTACACGATCTTTTTGCCCTGCGTTTTGCTAGTCCTTGTAATTGCGTCTCGCGCTGTTCTAGCCATCTTTCGTTGCAGACAACAGCAGTGGCCAAGGGGCATTTGAAAAACTATTTATCACTTTTGCTGTCCTCTTGCCCAATCATATTGCTCTCTAGCTGTCCAAAATCTTTATAGTTTGCGCCTGTTCTTTGTGGCCTGGCTTAACAGACTCGTTAGCATTGCTGGTGTTTTAGACCTTTTTGGTTAAGCCTATGATTTCTCAATGTTAGCTCAAAGTTGGTCAATTTTGCAGACTTCTGAAAATTTACTATTTCCCTGTCGTCCTTTTTTTTTTTCTTTTTAAAATTAAATCCGCGTTTGGCTCCTAGCTTGTTATGTCTGATTTAATCGCACGTTTTATGCTTTCTTGTATTACTTTGTCTCCTGAGGATTAAATTCACATAATTTTTTGCGTTCAGGAGTTTGCATTGGAACTGGATCTACCCTCATTGTCATTATGTTTGACTGAAACATAAATGATGTACTTACTCTTTTTAGTATTTTGCCATCAGAAATAGTGCTGAGAATGTTGTCTGTGTGTGTGTGCGTGGGGGGGGGGTTTGGTTTTTTGGCCTAGAAGTCTTGATGCCTGGGTTTGAGACCGAAGACATTTCCTTGTTTGTGTGAAAAGTTGGCACTGTCATTTAGTTAATGGCTGCTCCTATCAGCCAAGATGGCGGGAAATAGTGGGAGGAGAAATGAAGAAGGAATTGTTTTCGTGGCGGGAGGAGATATAAACAGGAAAATCTTAGCGAAAAGATCTAATAAATTGCCTGGCACAAATTCATTATTTGAAAGGGGAATTATCGGTGTCTTTTCAAAGTAACATTCTTAAACCTACTGTATATTTATCGTTTGACACATTTAGTTATTTCTTGTAGACTGTTGGGTACACTCCATAGAACCTTACTTTTAAGCCAGTTTATGACCTGATCAAACTTATTATTTAAAATGAATTATATCCTGTCACTTGATAAGATGAACGTAGGACTGTACAAAAAATGCTACATATAATAAATGCTGCATCCATTACATTTTTCTCGTATTTGGTTGAAATCAGAAATTATGAACTTGACAGTTTGTTGCCTCAAATGAAAGAAACACTAGTTTCAACCCCCCTCCCCTGGGGGGATTTGAACCCAGGTCCTCATGCTAATTTTTTTCTTAAGGATTTTTTTAAAAAATTTTTATTTTTTTGTATCTGGGATTGAATCCAGGGGCACTTAAGCACGGAGCCACATCCCCAGCCCTTTTTATGTGTTTTCTTTCACAGTGTCTCACTAAGTTGCATAGGGCCTTACTAAATTTCTGAGGCTGGCTTTGAACTCAGGATCTTCTTGCATCAGCCTTAAAAGTAGCTGCGATTATAGCTGTATGCCACTTTGTCCAGCTTAATAAAGGGTTTTTAAACACAGATACATTAAAGTTGTACGAATTACGGGTAATATTTAATACATGTATTCATGTATTTGGTAATATTTAAGTCAAATTAAAATATCTCTATCTTCAAAAATTTTCATTTCTCAATGATGAAACTTTCAAAGTTCTTTTGGCTTTTTGAAATCGAAGTAATTCCCTTTTTCTGTAGGCATAATACCATGTAATTGTACCTGGAATTTCTTGCTTCTGTGAAACTGTAACTTTGTATCCATTTATCAATGTTCCCCATCCCTCCTGGGTCCTTTCTTTTCCAGGTCTCTAATAAGGTCAGTTTACTCTCCCCTTTTTTGAAATCAACTTGTTTGAATTCCACATAAGTTAGCTATGTCCACGTCTTTCTGTGCCTGATTTATTTCATTGAGTATAATGATTTCCAGTTCCATCCATGGTGCTGCAAATGTCAGATTTTCTTATTCTTTATGGTTGAATAGTATCCGATCGGGTGCCATTTTTTAAAATGGAGATTTAACTTGCATGGATTTTAATATGTAGTTTGGTTTAGCATAGTCTTAAGTTTTTTTTTAATCTGTAATCTATTTTTTTCCCCCTGTGGTGCTGGGGATTGAACCCAGGGGCCTATGCATGTGAGGTAAGCATTCTACCAACTGAGCTATATTCCCAACCTCTATAATCTATTTTTAAATTTTTGTTTTGATTGCAAATAATGACCAAAAATCAGTGATGTGATACTTTTTTTCCTAAAAATTCATTTCATTTGATTGTTGAATATGATTGTTAAATACTATGGAAGTGAAAAACCTATCCATGAAAACTACTGGCAAATTGTGACTGGCTTTAATATTCTTTTTTTTTTTTAAGCTATTTTTTATACCTTTGTTTTATTTATTTATTTTTTATGTGATGCTGAGGATAGATCCCAGGGCTGCACACATGCAAGGTGAGCTCTCTACCACTGAGCCACATCCCAGCCCCTTTAATATTCTTTAAGTTAAATTGAATTATTGGGGGGAAAAATAAATGATGTTGGGATCTGGGGGATTGAGGCACAAGGACCACAAGTTTGAAGCTAGCCTGGGCAATTTACTGAGATTGTCTCAAAGAAAAATAAAAATGTCTGGGTCTGGGATTGCAGTCTAGTAATAGGGTGATTGCCTAGCATATGTGAGGCCCTGCATTTAGGCTCCAGTACTAATAAAAAGCAGGGGGCGGGTGTTCTGCATGTAGTTATCTCTTTGGATTCCTGAGCCTTCACAAAGATGGTCACTTCTAATTTAACTTGGATTGTATTTTGGAGTATTTATTTCTGATTTAACTTGGAGTTTATGAAGTTGCTTGCAATTGATAGTGTTCGAAAACATTGGGGGAAAAGGTCTTATCATACATATTGATGATCCATACTTAAAAATAAATACTACTTATGAGTGTTTCCATAGGATTAATATTTACCTTATGATATTAGGAGTTCTAAATTATAATATATGTTAGTAATATGTTTTTTTGTTTGTTTTGTTTTTTTAAACTGGGGATGGAATCCAGAGGCACTTCACTACTGAGCCACATCTCCAGTCTCTTTTTGTATTTTATTTAAGTCAGGGTCTCACTGAGTTGCTTAGTGCCTCACTAAGTTGTTGAGGCTGGCTTTAAACTTGCAATCCTCCTGCCTCAGCCTCTCAAGCTGCTGGGATTATAGGTATGGACTACCATGCCTGGTCATATGTAATGATTTTTAATAATATTTTTTTAAAACATGGGCAGAGGTTGCTTAAGCATATATTTGAAATTGCATGTGATCTTTAATACTGAGAATTTATACTTAATGTAAATTTTTCATGTTTGAGTAATTAAGTGAAAAAAATTAAAAATATATATTTAGTTTTTACTTATAAGTAGACACAGTGTCTTTATTTTACTTTATGTGGTGCTGAGGATTGAAGCCAGTGCCTCATGCATGCTAGGCGAGCATGCATGAGCCACAACCCCAGACCTTAAGTGAAAATTTTTGAGAGCAGTATTTTGTTCTGTTTTTTCTTTTTTTGTTGCTGGGGATCAAACCCAGGGCCTTGTGCACTTGTGCATGCAAGCAAGCACTCTACCAACTGAGTTATATCTCCAGCCCGAAAGAGCAGTGTTTTTTAAAAGCATTGAATTCCTTGCTGGGTACAGTTAACACCTGTAATCCCAGTGGCTATGGAGGCTGAGCAGGAGGATTGTGAGTTCAAAGCCAGCATCAGCAAAATCAAGGTGCTAAGCAAAACTCAGTGAGACCTTGTCTCTAAATAAAATACAAATTGGGCTGGGGATATGGCTCAGTTGCTGGGTCCCCTTGTTCAATTTTTTGAACCCTTGTTCAAAAAACAAACAAACAAAACATTGAAATTCTATTAGGAGCCAAATGTTAGTTTTTCGTATTGATGTTGTGTCCTATATGAACATCCCTGCCTTGTGATAGGAATTAATTGCTGTAGCAGTTAAGATAACACAGAGATGTGATGAAAATCAGTCTGTAAATTATTCAGAAGTCCAAGAATGGGAAACATCATATAACCTAGCTATATTTCTCCTTGGTTTGTAACCAAAAGAACTAAAATCAGCATACTGCAGTGATATGTGCATGCTTATATTTATAGCAACACAGTTTAAAATAGGCAGTTATTCAGCCATAAAGAAAAATGAAATTATATCCCTTACAGGAAAATGGATGGAGCTTGAGAGCATTATGTTAAGTGAGGTAAGCCAAAATAAGAAAGGCAGTGGTTGAATGTTTTCTCTCAATTGTGGAAGCTAGAGAGGAGAAAGGAAAAGAAAGGTAGGGGTAGGGAAAAATATTATTAAAATCAAAGCAGGAGACCCATAGAGTAGAGGGTAGAGGACAGGGGGACCAAAGTAAGGAGGTGTGGAGGGAAAGGGGAAATAGTATTGACCAAATTATATTTTTATATCATGTGCATGTAATAATGCATGACAATATTATAAGTAATTGTAATACACCAATAAAACATGAGGGGGAAATAATTTTAAAATAAAATTATGATTTTACTCAGGGGAAAAAAAAAAACATGTAACTGGGAAACGTAAGAGAACACAGATCATGGCAGGTATGCTATTTGATGACTCCTCAGGAGTTTTTATCCATTAATCTTATTTATTCTTGACAGTCATGGCAAGAGCATCCTGATCCTATGGTACACCTGGTCTCTGAAGCCGATAAGATTGTTTAAGGTGGGTGGGTAAGATTCATGCCAAACTTTCATTACCTCAGAAGCTATAAGTCAAAGTGGGATAACAGAAGGAAAAAGAAACAAACCACTATCTACTGGCTGTCAGACTATGAGTTGAGGCTCAGGAATGCTTTTGCTCTTTGTCCCTTTGGTGGTCTTTATTTTGGTACTAGAATTATTAGTAGAAAGATGAATAGAGAAATTATAGTTTGTTTACTATTCAACAGTAAAATAGGGGGTCTATTTTTTAGAGTAGGTGTTTAAAAGCTTTGGAGGTAATGACAGAACTTTAAATTTATTAAAACATGAATT